CGGGCTTGATACAACCGGACCCCGGTTTGTGCGCACAGAACATGTGAGCAGCGTGGAAGAAAATAATTTTTACACTTAGAATTTGACGTTTTACTTGTTTACACTATAAATTCGTGTATTTGGGGAGACAAAGTTCTTTAAGTTTGCTGCCCGCATAGCGAGCGACCCTGGTGGAGCGAGAAAGCCAGCAGATCCTAATTTATATTGTGAGTAAAAGTAAAATATTTCCGAGACGCATTGTATTAGGGTGATTTTTTGAAAATTTTGAAAAAATTGATAAAAATGGCAATTTTCCACTACTTCCTAATAACGGATTGTCATCAAATTTTTCACTTTACAAAAGTTAACGTTTATTTCTTATATAGCAAGAAGGAAAATGAAGATAAATAGTATATTTTCGAGATCACTAAATTTGTGAAAGTAGCAGTGAAACTCCTTTTCCACTTCCGATTTTTTGCGATAGCATTTAAATATGTCCGCACATCATATATGTTCAATTAAGCCTGTTTCCGCATATTAAAACGATCTGGTGTCTCATTTTTCGACCTAACACGTATTTTCTGCTCAGTCATCCGACTTATTTTGGAATATGGATGCCAATTTAAGAATTATTCTTTAACGGAAAAACAGTCCAATCAAATGGAGCAAATTCAAAAAAGCAACTAAAACCATCTTATCCGATCAGATATCTTATGACCTAAGGTTAAAAAGACTAAAATTGAATACATTGGTAAGAGCTATGTTATAAATTATACCAATCGATCACTCAAAATAAAAACAATAAACTAAATAGCCTATTGCTGCAACCCAAATAGTAGGCTTATTGACTACGGAACCCAAGAGAATTTCCAATTTTTTAAGCGAAAACGGACAGATTTGCTTAATCATTTATATGTTAAACTATTTTATAGTACTCCTTAGTTGTGGTTCACCCACTTATACGAAAAGTATCAAATATTTATTATAAATTATTGTAGCACTTATGATGGTAATCTTACAAATTTGTAAATATAATTATTCTTAATCATGATTCATGTACATGTATATAGTCCACTCGATGTAAAATCAGGTTCTTTATGTTGTGTCTTAACAGCATACAAGTTTGTTCTTTAATTAAACACCTTAATAAACACCTTCATAGGGCTGTTTCCCACCAGGCAGAATTTTGCTCGCGGAGCGGAATTTTTCATTGTCAGGAGGCTTTCATGCAAAACTGATGCGAGAAAACTCCGCAAAGAAAAATTCCGCTTCGCGCGCAAAGTTCCGCCAAGTCAAGGTGTACACAGAGGGCAGGGAGGCAGTGGGGGGGACAATTGCACCCTAAAAATTTCGAGAAACAAAAATTCGGGCAATGGTGACAGTACAGCAACGGGGAGCTAAAATTTGTAATATATATCACATATGTGTATTCTATTTGGCCATTCTTGTTACACTTTCTTGAAAGCACATCCGGCGCTTTGCCAAATTTATTGTTACAAATTTGGTAAGAGTTAAAATTCTTTCGGGCACACTGCATAATTCAAAAATTCGGGCGATTTTTTTGCCCCCAAACGAAGTTACGCCCGTACGCCTATGCGCCTAGTGGAAAACAGGCTTTTAAGCTCATCTAATGATAATAATAATTCAATCCACTTGTAATGCTGGCGAAACCAGGATTTTTTTTTATACCAACCGTACTTTATAATTGGCATCGGTCGAGTACCGATACCAATTTCGATAGCAAAATTTGTTAAGAATCTTGAAATCTGATAATTTCGATACCAAGATTATAATCAGAAGTTTACATTTTGAAACTCAAGCTGCAAAAAGACCGATTAACATACTGAGTCATCTGAAATTTATAGTATAACGAAACGTCGATAATTGTTCTTTTTCCCTTTGTTCACGATTTGTCGAATTTGATTCAGTAGTTTTCCAAAAAAAAAACCATTTTAGAAAAATATAAAATATTCCAATCAACGTTTGCCCAGAAAAAGGGGACAAGTGTCAAACGAAACCAGGTCAGTAATCGACACCGATGCCATGCTCGATAGTATCGTTGGCATCGAATACTAAGTGTTCGGTTGGGTATCGTCTAGCACTAGTTTTACGTGTTAACTTCGAACTGGCGGCTAAATAGTCCAAATATATTTGTTGCCGTGATTGTGGCGATCGGCAGCCAGAGCCGGAGCCATAAACCAGAGCCAACCAATAGGCAACAAGAGCCGGGCAATGAACCGGGAAGTCTCATTGGGTACGTCTGCAACCAATGAAGCGACAATTTGAGCCAGCCATTACCTACTGCCATCACTATTATATATCCATAAAAATCCATAAAGTTCACTGTGCCATCCTTGTCCCCAGGTTTCGGCCGCGGCGCCGGCGGCAATTCCTCGCGGCTTGAAGAATAAAATGGCGGTTGTCTTTCTTCAGCATGCAAATGTCAAATGTAAAGAAATTTTTCCAGCAGTCAATTTGGTATATATTAAAGCCGAAATTCTCAACTTTTGCTTTAGTTGCTGGTTTGTCAGGTATGTTGTTATTTCTTGGTTATTGAATAGTTTACAAGTATAAAATCTGACTTAAATATTTGCATATTTGTTATTTGAATATTCATGAAGTTATGATATTATTTATCTGAAAAACCCCGCTAAATAGGTGAGAATGTTTTTATACCACAGAAAACGACTTTAATATTAGGTTTTGCCCGTTCAATTTTGTGGTGATAAATTGTAGCGTTACTTCTAAAGTCTAAACAACTTTACTTTATGCTTTATTATCTGGTATAAATAATTCGATTTTTTAAGTCACCTTTCATGTGTCTGAACTCTATATTACTTAGGGATGCTACAAGTTTGTTCAAAAGGAATATTCTTAAACCCAGCATACTAATTTAAACTAATGTACAGGTTAGAATGATGCCAAAATGTTCATTGCAGCATTTAGGAGCACAATGCATTCTGCATAGGTTAAGCAAATTTTTAAGTTTCAAGCTTGATTTGGTCAAGATGTTCACTTGTTACAAAAAGATTGCTCAGCTGTTCAGTTGGTTTATTCAGATGAAGTAGCTAAACATTTTTTGGAGGAGAACATGTTTTCGGATGGCGACTTAATTTGCTTTCAGTTAATTTATGTGGTTGATCAACCCCAAATAATTACCTGATTTTACCAAATAAGTTACCCTAGATTCTAGATTCTCATTATCTACATGGAAGAAGGGAGCTAAAGGATGTTCTTAAGAAATAAATAAATGTTTCAACACAAGATGCTGGTTTAAACTGATAGATTGAATAGAATACCAACTCACTGTATAGATGTATACTTGTTTTATAAATCAAAAGAGCACTAATTTTTGGGTGCATTAATTCTGCATGGTGTCCCTACTTTGTACGTTACATTCTTTTTTCCACCAGCTTTTTAAACCATTTTCTCTGTCATCACTACTTTTTACCACTATCTTGGAATTTGTGAAGTCTTCAAATAAAACTAATGATGGAAGGATTACAACCAACTGTTAACATTTGCGAGCTGGAACATAGGTTCCACATATCAGAAATTCAAAGGAAGACGTACCCAAAATGACTTATATAAATATTCAAATTTTGCCATGTGATTGCAGTTAATCCTGTCCTTGCCTATAAAAAAGTTACACATGAAGAGATTTTCAATTGTTCAGCTTTGTTGCATGCACTTGTGGTTGGTTTGTGCAGGAAATTGTTTGGTTAATAAGACACTACAGTATGATAAAACATTTTTTTAGGTCACCTGATTAAATGACTCTTAAATACAAAAAGCTACTGTAGTTAATGTTTACTTTGCAAATGCAGCCAAGCTGCAAAGTCCTGATATGATATACTGTATTTTCTCAAGGATAATATTGACATGTTCCCATTCATTAACTATCAATCCCATGTTTCCTCTTAGCTAGGCCTTTTCAGAAAATAATGGGCTCTAGTCAAGGTCTAGTCATAATGTTGGTTACCCATATGCACAATTTATGGCTGATTCAACAAGGGTTAGGGCATGGAAAATGTTAATCAGCAAACTCTTATTTTTCTGGAAAGTTCAATTGCTTAAACTGTGTGATATGCTTTCTTGTAAAAGGCCCAAGATCTGATTGTAATAGCACCTACATTTAATAATAAAATCATTGAAAAGCATTAATATTGTTAATCAGCAAAATTATTTCTCTGTTTTCTAGATTGACTGTTATACAACATGTTCATACCTCTACAGCAAAATTGGTAAGTTATAAATTTTCTTCTGTGTGCAAGACGAATTTTTGTATCAGTAGTATGCAGAAAGATGTAGATGTTTATCAGTTTATCTGTGTATTAAAACATTTTTTATGTTTTGTCTCATCATGTGTTAACTAAGTTTAACTAAGTTTAAGTTTAATATAGTTTATATAGTTTCATGGACACTTTTAAATTTAATACAGCATAGGCAATGTAGCTATTTGCCATTTAAGATGGAATAATATCTATTTTACTCCAAATGTCTTTTTTGCTGCGATTTTATGCAATTTTCTTGCAACTTGCAATGCAATTATAATTTTGAGGGATGTTAATTTTGTAAGGAGTGTTCGAAATGTTAAAAAAATGTTAGCAGATCCTAAGAAATTTTTGTAATTGACAACTTTAGATGCCTCAGTTTCCTTAAATTTCCTTACATTGCAAATATAAAGTGTTGGAAAGGAAAGTTAAATGTTCAGGCTTGCTTGTCCCTTCACAACAGTTCCTTAATTATAGCAGCTTATATTTAACAATTAGACAACGAGTCCGAGTTGTCTATGAGCGAATAGTGAACGAAGGCGAAGCCTGAGTTGACTATTCGCTCATAGACAACGAAGGCGAGTTGTCTAATTGTTTTAGTATACACCCTGTACCTAGATATATTAATTTCGAGAAAATAATCGATACACCGCAATTTTACACCGAAAAATAATTTAATTAATTCAATTTTATACGGTCGCGCGAGCGAATTTTTCCCAAACGTGCACTATCACGAATAGACGATGGTTGAGTAGCCAATCAGAATGTAGGATTTGTAATAGACAATAGTCAGGTGTATACTAATTTCGGATAGTAAACGGAGCCAGCAGACCTAATTGATCAAATTGATCAGACTGCAACACCGGCGGAGTGCTTTGTTACAGGAAGCATTTTGACGAAGTCCGTTAATTTACCTAAATCATACTAGAAAACATCGTTTTCAGTATCCCATGGTATTCCCAGGATATTAACCGATAAATGTTCAACTTCTGCTGTTGATATGTTACTTCTTGATCGTTATGTTCTGCAGTGTTTGGAAAGCATTCGCAAGTTAAATGATGGTCGGTTCCAAACAACAAACCTGTTGCTCGCTAATTTCAACCTATTCAATACCACACTCGTTCTCGAGGGGTTCCACGATCTGTGGTAACACCTCTTCACACGCTTTTGTATGTTGTTTCCTTCTGTACGAAGCCCGAATCCACCGTCTGTGATTATTTCTTTTGACATATCGTAAATTTTGATTGTTTGATCATCCGCCAAGGTAATTTATGCTGTATGATGGTATAGATACTTCAATCAGGATCCATCAAACAGAACTCACACTTTCGTTGTTTGTAATTAATGCGCCGATTTATCAGATCCTGATCTTTTGCAGTTCAGTCATCAATAACTCGCAAATGTTGCTGTTGCTTGAAGACATTCAGAATATTCTTTCATAAGTTCGGTCCTTCAACGGATTATGCGTGTGTCGTAGTCTACTCATACACAGGATGAATACTCACTCGCGATCGGTCCCTTCAATGAAGAAAACGAGGATTTGAACTTGTCAAATCGTTGTAAGTTTTTTGTTTTATGAACTGCATTTTCGAAAGCCCCACAAAATGTACGATTAATTCGTAACAACACCTTGAAGTTTATACAAAGGCAGTTTCGAGGTCGAAAAGAACAGCGTTTTTCTTAGAATCGAATTTGCGATGAATTTGTTGGCAATTGGCTGGTACATATACGTCTTCACATCCTCAGTCAGTTCTTATTTACTCGCTAAAGTCTACTTGATGACTCTCTTGTGCTATTTCTTTCAATCAATTTTTTTCTCAGTTATTTTACCCAAGTTTTTGAGATTCTGTAATTTGGCACTCAATGTTGTTAACTCCACACAAATTGTTTCTTTGCTAAGTCGTCCCCGTTTTGTAACTCCATGCATGATTTCTAGATCGAATTGGGCACCATGCAATAGAACTTTATACACAAAAAAAGAAAAATTCAAAAGAACACAAACAAAAATTAGGCAAATTAAAATCCTAGATGTACAGTGTACTACACAGGCTTTTCAAAAGTCATACTGTAGGTTCGATAAATGTTGTTCGTCAAAAGACCACCATGTTTTCACTGTGGAATGTTCCTACCTAAACTACTGTTCTTTTCACAAGTAGCTAATTCCTTTCACTTTTTTTATTAATTAGTATAGGTATTAACGAGATTTTTGCTCCAACAATTTGTGATTAAATAGGAATGATGTTTGAAAATTTTTCCAAAATTGGACGTGCCATCGACACGGTAGCTATCGATCACCATGCAAACATATACTATACACTGTTATACTTTAACTAAGTATTAGCTTTTTATCCTATTCGGATCGACTTAAAAGTATATAAATAGAATGAGCAACGCATGAGCAACTTAAAATATAATTCAATAATGCAATATCGCGGCGAACGTAACTTAAGTACTCTGAGTATACTGCGGGTTTCATGAGGAGAAGTGAAAATCATGTTGCGACAGACGTCTTGTTGGCTCATGCATTAATGCATCGGGAGGGCACTAAAACTTTGGATCCATGGATCCCTAGAATATATATGTCTGAGCTCTCATCTTTTAAAAGGAGGTAATTTTGCTCCTTATGAATTACGAATAGTCTGCCTAGCAAAATTCTTGACTGATTCTGTTTTAGAAGACACGGTACAGTTTTAAAAAGTGCGACGGAGCCCTCATTGCTGCAACTGTAGGCTTAAAAGGTTAAATGACTTTTAAGCACAAAAATGCAAGCATATGCTCACTTTGCCCATAAAGCCAAGCACGTAGGCCTAGCTGAGTTTCTGACATGGGCATATTTATTTTTCCTATGGAAAAAATAATCGTTTAACACAATTCTTTGTTTCCTAGACTGACTGTGTCACAGTACATTCCTAGTACTGCAAATCATTTTGGTAAGTTATTTTTTCTGTTTGTGTCTTTAACTTTTAGTTTATGTCTTTTTATAGTGATATACAGTAGGGATGATGTGTTAATGACATTAGATAATTTTCAATTTCAATGTCTCACTATGGTGGAATGTTTTTATGCTTAATAAACTTTTTTGTATCAATAGTGGGATAGTATATGTTCAGTATGGCAGGGTGTTTTTCATTCTTAGTTGACTATTTTGTATATCAGTAGAGGGATAGGATGTTCTTTAGGCAGGGTGGATCTTTCTCATTTTTTTTACTTTATCTTTGCATCAGTTATGAGATGGGATTATTAGCGTTGAATGATTATTGATCAGAATTTATTGAAGTCCCCACAAGAGATTACCCATGTTTAGTACACACATTCACACAATGAGTCACAATGTGTGCAGTATGCAGTCCTATTGGGAGGACTTGTACAAGAAGTCTCACACTGTGGGGAGACTGCTAGCTCAGGTCTCTTAATGATTTGTGTCACCATAGTATTGCTGGCTGAAGTTGATCTTTTTCAAGTTTATCTTGTCATCGGTAGAATAATGGGATGTTTTTCCGGGTGGTATTAGTAGCTGGGGATGCATGTGATTTCTTCACTATATCTTTGTATATGGGGGGTGGCAGTTCAGCATGGTGGGTTGTCAAATCTTTGTCAATTTTATCTTCATATCAGTAATGGGATATGATGAAACGTTTCTCTTTCGTAATTGACTCGCTTTTGCAGCAGGATACAGTAGGGTGTTCATCATCCATTCTCAGTTGACCTTTTCATCAGTAGCTGAAAGGAATGTTTATCAGGGCGAGATTTGTTGACCCCATACTGTGAATACTAAGTTGGCTCTGATTTTTAGTACACATGTTTTTTGAAACCTTCTTTGAAACCTCGCAACTGACAATATTTTTGCATCAGTACTTCTTACATTAATAGCGGTAGTGATATGTTCATCATGGTGGGACATTTAACTCTAAGTTAACAATATTTTGTATATATTTTGCATAGAGCTTAAAACAATTCTCTTTTCCTAGTTTGACTGTTTCATGCACAGAATGTTCATACTTCCACTGCAAAGAGTTGATTGGTGGTGAGATTATTTTTTTGTATGCTTGTTGTTACTCTAGGATATTTTTCACTCTTAGTTCACTATATCATTCTATCAATATCTAGACAGCATGTTTACCAGATTGGAATATTTTCAATTTTTTGTGGTATCAGTAGTGGATATGATATTTATATTTATCATGATGGGATGCTCTGTATGCATCAGTAGTAGGATGTTTATCGGGGCAGGATTAGTTGATTTGCAGTATCCAAGCATATAATGAGTTGGCTGTAATTTATTTAGTTATTGGGAGGGAATGTTTATTACAGTGGGTTGTTTTTCATTATTATTTGACTTTGTATCAATACCGTGACGGCATGTTTATTAGAATGGAATGACTTTTATTTTTAGATGATTTACTGTAATGTTTGCATCAGCTGCAGTGGTAGGGGATGTTTACTAGGGTGGAACTGATTTGTTGACTGTATCTATGTATATTATGATTTGGCTCTAATTTTGTATCAGTGGAAAGGAATGTTTATCAAAATTCAAATTTCTTTAGTCCCCACAATGCAATTACGTAAGTTCACTAAACACGCAGTGTAAAAAATAAAGCATTGTGAGGACTTGTGCAAGAACTTTAACATTGTGGGGACTTACATACACTCAGGTCCCCATAAAGTCATTCCTACAAGGTTTCAACATATTTTTCAAAACAACAGCATAGGTGGCTTATTAGAGTGGGTTTTTTCTCATCAATATAGTTTTATTAATGGCTATTTATTAATGGAGTAGCAGAGTGGCATTTTATACCAAGGTGGGATTTGTTGACAATATTCCTGTATGCTGAGTTGGCTCCAGTTTTGAATTAGTGGTGGGATTTGTTTACTGTATGTATCTTGTATCTAGGGTAAGATGTTATTCATTCATAGGTGGCATTATCTTTGCATCAGTGATTTGAGGAGATGCTTATAAGCTAGGGTTAAATTTGCTGACAATCTGTATGTCTATACTACATTGGCTCTTATTTTGCATCATTAGCGGGAATGGACATTGATCAAGATAGATGAAATTTGTTCACTCGATAATATCTTTGTGTGTTTCCAATTTTTATCACAGGCGAAATGTAATTTGTTGACTACATAAAGCTCTTTGTATATTAATATAGTGAGTTGACTTCAACTGGGAAGTTTTCTATTAATAGTTGATGTTATAATTGTATTGGTAGTAGCTCAGGTTAAATATTCCATCAAGTATCATCATGTAAAAGTGTGTAAAGCAATGTGAGGACTTGTGCAAGAATTCTCACATTGAGGGGACTTACATTTTTAATGATTTGTGTCAGCATAGTATTGGTGGTTCAGTTTAATCTTTCCATCAAGAATAGAATGGAATTTTTATCAAGGGGAATGTTCTTCATGGGATTTGTTGACTTTCTGCATAATACATAATTCTAATTTTGTCTCACTAGTGGGAATTAAGAGATGTTCGTCAGGGGTGTGGGATACTTTTCATTAATAGTTGACTTTATCTTTGAATCATAGCTGCAGCTGGGGATGTTTATCATTCTTAGTTCACTTTATCTCTGTATCAAAACATTTTTAATGTTTTGTCTCATCATAGTATCAGTGATGTGTTTAATTAAGTTTAAGTTTAATATAGTTTATATAGTTTTACGGAAACTTTTAAATTTAATACAGCATAGGCAATATATTTGCTATTTATGATTGAATAATATCTATTTTACTCCTAAAGTCTTTTTTGCTGCGATATTTTTTTTAGTATGGAACATGTGAGAAATCCCTTTGACGTACACTAACACATAAAAGACCACTATTAAGCAAACGTTGACGGAAAGATTTTTAATGATGCATTTGGTAAGTTTATTTTATTTTAATTAATAAACTCTACATTGTCACTGCTGTTACACTATGCAATTTTCTCGCAACTTTCAATGCAATTATAATTTTGAGGGATGTTTAATTTGTAAGAGTGTTCGAAATGTTAAAAAACGTTAGCAGATCAAACGTCAGCGGATTTTATTTTCACTCTTCTTTCTTTCCCGGATTCTTGAACTTCAGCATGCGCTTTCTCTACAGTTGCAGTTTATATTGTCTTCAATCAAGACAGTTATACTTTTAGGTGCGATTGGTAACTCGATGATGGTATTAGGTCATCTTTTTGGCTATACAGACTTTAGCTGCTCTAATCAAGGGATGGTATTAAACAACTCCAGTTTCACAAACTTTTAGGGCACATCGCGCGATTTGTCATCTTTTAGAATCACAACATCCCAAACGATCTGTTGGATACTTTTAACGGTTCTCTTAATCTGCTGATCTTTTTTCGCCATTGATTCATAAATTGATTTACTGTCGTTTGATGTGGTGGTAATAGTAGCTACCAATTTGTACGAACATATAGATTAGTGATGAGGGTGTTAACATGTTTGTCGTCGTACAAATAGGTTATAGGCGAAGTGACTTTATTCTTTTGTTTTTGAGCAATTTGTTCCAGATGGTTGCAGACTTGCAGTTAAGAGATCTCGATTAACACAGTCCGCATTTCTTTAAACAATAGTCGTGTTCGTCCTTATAGTATTTTTCTAAGACAAATTTTCGTGCTACCAATCATGCTTTTCAAAAATCTCCTTGCCAGGGCGCTTTCTCGATTATGAAAGTCCATGTAATTCTCTTGTTCATCGAATACTGTTTTGGATCTCCTCCGACCTGACGATCCTTTTCACGTCTTGAGCAGTGGATTTGACAACGACAACAGTCTTGCATATTAGCAGCCGCGCCATGCGGAAAATCTTGAAAAGCTTGCAAAAACGACTTGTATAGATAAATTAGGCACTAGCTCTAGGATCATGATCGTGTCAAAGAACAAGTCGAAAGACGGACGTGAGCCTTGGCTTTCTCTGATTCGGGTTGCCCTCGATTCGTAGCAAAAAGTGGTCCGGCGAAATCGACTCCTGTATTTGTGAATAGCGGAGTAGCTAACTCGTCAAGCTGGTGGGGTAGGGGGCAGTTTGGGGAGTATTGAAACACATCCGTTCTAATTTCTTGCACTTTCTCTTCGCCCTCTAACTATCTAATACTCTCATAAATTTTATTCAATTTCTCTGTGATTTCATTATGATAAACAACCCTATGATGATCGAAAATTACAAGATCCGTAAAGAGGTGTCTCGACGGAAGGAGTTTGGGCTGTTTCTCTGACAACGACAGAGACGATTTATCAATTTGACCACGAGAACGAATAACGTTGGCTGGGTTTCAAAACAACCCTAACTACTTGACCAACCGTAAGATATTCTTTGTTAAGATATCCCTCTTCCGCCACGTAAATGATCGATTTTATCCCAAGCATCAATGTTTAAACTGGTCCGCGGTAGGCTTCTGTGCTGTAGAAGGACACCTTATGTTGTAAATGAACTGCACACACGGTGTCACTCATAATAACTTTGTCTTGCTGCTGTAGCATTAACGTCGATCAAATCTTAACAATGTCACTTCTTGTCAATGCTCTCATAATTGAATACGGATTTGATTTCATCATTGCAGGATTTGATTTCGTCATTGCAGCATTTGCCCCGACATCTGAACCCCTAAGATCTGTATGTCCTGACACTGATGGCGATGTTTTCGAGAGGTACTTTAGGAATTCTCCTCTAGTCCACAATAGTGATTGGCCTCCCCGTTTTCTTTGTGCGGGGCAAAATTTCCACCTCTCTGACGGCGAGCTTTCGTATTTCATTTACGGGGTTCTGGACGTATACGAATCAGTGCATATGTAAATACGTTTCAGGAAACATCTGCATATACAAGTTAGCCTTCTGGACTGAGCTTATCAAACGAGCCAGAACGGTGGCCCCAAGGAGTTCAAGGGGGGGGGGGAGTTGATTAGCGTTTATTGGGCGTGACTCTGGTTTTTAAGGCTACCAAAGCGAGTTCGATTTTTCCATCTTACACAGTTTGTAAGTATCGATACATAGGGGTTTTTTGTTTGCGAGCGTCCGGTGATTTTGCAATCAAGAGATCATCCCAATTTGACCCGTCCATACATAAATCCTAAAAACATTTTTATCGGATAGTAAACGGAGCCAGCAGACCTAATTTAGTCCTGCAGATTGGTAGGAAAATTGTGGGTTTTTGGTTAAAAGCACAAAATTTTACATTTTTGCTAAACAAGACCTGTCAAAATAGATGCCATGTGGGCCCACTCATAAATTTCAATTGGGGACCATTTTTCGCATAAATTATAACTCTACATAAAAACGAAGGCTTAATCGAATTTTCACCATTTATGCTTTGTAAATGTGCGGATTCACATAATGATAGAGGAATGCTAGATATATAGTTAACACATTTAGTGTGGTTATTTTCAATATTATCGATACACTTACTAATACAATGTTTTTGCATGAAAATGAAACTAAAAGATATTTACAGCTGTCAGAGAAGCAGTATTAACGCATTAGTTCTAAGTATTTCGGTTAGTTTAGAACTCAGCGTCAACATAATTGTTCACCATATGTTCAAGCCTTTATGGTTAATCTCTGTCACATTCTCCTCCACAGTAACATAATGATGTACATTGTATTCCAGCATGTACACATTTACAACGTCCTGAACATCCCTTTTCACTTTTGCATCCGCACTTGAGAAGCTCTTGACAACTTTTTGAGGCTTGAGGGGGCGTTCAAGCGTTCAATGACTGGCATTACCTCATGGTTAACGATGATGGGTAATCGCTTAGTCTTGCAAATGCTCCCGTTGCATCGCTGTGAATTCTCCATGTTTCCCAAGCAGTCTTCTTTCCCTTGCTGATGTTTGGTCGCAGCCTGTAAAAGCATGAAATGCTAGGAGTGCTCTTGACGTTTAGGGTCCCATGGAACGTGCAATCTCATGCACAGGCAAGTATCGTAAGTGCTTTCCAGCCCCAAACGCTACCCATAATTCAGACGAAGACATCAGATGAAAATGTGCGACTGCTATCACAACAACATCCGTATCAATTGTACGCACCATCACCGTTGTGAATCCTCGCTTCGATGCATCGGCGGCGTGCAACAACAATCAGCCTCTTCTTGTTGACAGGGAGATAGATCGGCAAGAACTCTTTCTGTATTGCAGATTACCATGTCTTCTTTTGTTGATATAACCTCTCCGTTCTCAGCTCCAATCGTAATTGCCTGGTCTGCAAGGTAGCTGAAAAGTTCCTTCTTGTTGTCTGCTACTCTAAGAAAGGTTTGCCAGTTTCCAGGAATTTTGCTATCAGCTTGAGCACGTCTACGTACTCCCTTACCTCGCTTCTCTCTTGTAGCGGTCTTAAGGCTGTGCTGGAAATATCTGTCCCAAATAACATCCACTCGTCTGGCGACTTGGAGTTGGCTACTCACGTATGGGATGGAAACCTTTCGACTGTATTCTTCAAAAATTCGTGATGCCCCGGGCTTTAGCATGTTAACAATAGCTGCACCATCCAATAGAACGACGTCAACAGATATTTTTACTGATTGTGCATTGCTAATCGTTTCGAGACATGGCAACAAATCTGATTTGGTTCCTGATCGCATCGTTCCAAATTGGGATAACGAAGGAGGATAACTTTGATTCTCGTGAGAGAAAAAGGTTTCCATATCTCCATCACGAACTTGACAAGAAACATAGAGACGTTAAAATAGCGCACAGTTTTGCTTGAGTGAAGCGATCTGAAGCTTGTCTTTGGACTTCTTTGTCAGGCGAATAGGAGAAGTGAAAAGTGGTAACTTGTTTTTCTTTATTGGCTTAAAGAGTGAGATTCTTTTATCAAGCCTGTCGGTAACAAATTGCTCATATTGCTCTTTACCAATAGCTTCTATTTTACGAACAGTCTCTATGACACTAGTATCCACCAAATTTCGCGTGTCTAGAACAAGTAAATCCTCGCTCTCTTCTAAGAAAGGGTTTCCCATTTCTTCAATCGAGTTGTACATATCTTTGACCTGTTTGCTAAAGGTTGACTGGACTCCTTTTACTTGCTCATGATGACGAACATCCGGTCCTTTACTTTGAAAATCTTTCAGCGATTCTACTGCAGACTCGAAATCGTTGATTATTCTTGCCAGTTCTGGACCCGAAACCATCCAGCGTAGCAATTTATTCTCATTACTAGTCAGACCAACCGCACCAATATCACCTTTGACAATCTTGTTATTCTGTTCGTGTGCTTGATCAAGGGAAATTGCAGAAAAAGCACGGCGTGTTTTGTGTACCACAAAATTTCCGCTTTCGAACTTCTTTGCGACTGTGGGAAGTTCCTTGTCCAGCGTTTCCATATCACGGATGTGAACGGGGAGCCACCTTGAATAGTGGGTATGATCTAGAGCAAAAAAAAACACGGAGCGATGGCAGTTAGGGCATCTTTGTACAATTGAAAGTTTCCTTCGCGTATGGAACGCACGAATATAAGAACTGTCAGCTGTAGTCGAAGCGTGAGCGACCAGAAGTGGAAATGTGGACTGTCGATTTCTCTACGAGCACGCCAGTTGGAAAACTCGAGCGGTTTTACCGTTATGATGTCAGAAACACTTTCATTTGCTCCTTATGAATTACGAATAGTCTGCCTAGCAAAATTCTTGACTGATTCTGTTTTAGAAGACACGGTACAGTTTTAAAAAGTGCGACGGAGCCCTCATTGCTGCAACTGTAGGCTTAAAAGGTTAAATGACTTTTAAGCACAAAAATGCAAGCATATGCTTACTTTGCCCATAAAGCCAAGCACGTAGGCCTAGCTGAGTTTCTGACATGGGCATATTTATTTTTCCTATGGAAAAAATAATCGTTTAACACAATTCTTTGTTTCCTAGACTGACTGTGTCACAGTACATTCCTACTACTGCAAATCATTTTGGTAAGTTA